ATATTTACTGCAGATGCAACAAAATATCACAACAATACAAAGGAACACACAAGTAAATGTAAACAGACACAAATGGTTAAAATCAAGGATACAGTGCTGTGAAAAAGTATTCACTCCTTTCCCAATTTCTTTTATTTTTCATATTTGTCACACTTGGATGTTTCAGATCATTAGACTAATTTTAATATTACCTAAGTAAACACAAAATACTGCTGTTAAATGATGATTTCATTTATTGAAGTAAAAATACTGTTCAGCCCTTCCTGGCCCTACGTGAAAAAGCATTTGCCCCGTAGCTACTAACTTAAGAAATTAACCAAATTCAGCTGATTTTTGTGTTCAATTTCACTAGCCACACCCAGGCATGATTAGCGCCAGACCTGTTGAATCTAAACATCATTTAAACAGAATGTGTCTGGCAATGCGAAGCAGACTAGAAGGTCTCAAAAAAGCAGCACATGATGCCCCATTAAAATCAATTTAGATGCAAAACAAATCCAGTGAACCACAGTGAGAGTTACAAATGGCGAAAACTTGGAACAGTGGAGAACCATCCCCAGCCTACCGAAATTTCACAAAAAGCTTATTGATGATTCATCCAGGCCACCAAAAAACTCCAGATAAACATCTAAAGAACTGCAGACCTCACTTGCCTCAGTGAAGGTCAATGTACACAATTCCACAATAAGAAAGATACTGGGCAAAAATGGCATCTATGGGAGAGCTGCGAGGTGCAAACCAGTGCTGACCAAAAAGAACTCATCTTACATTTGCCAAAAAAAAAACTAAATCCCCCAAGACTTTTGGGATAACATTATGTCGACTTATGAGTCAAAGCTGGAACATTCTGGAAGACAAGGATCCCATTACATCAGCAGTCAAACATGGTGGTGGTTGTGTGATGGTCTGGGGCTGTTTTGCTTCTGTAGGACCAGAAGGTCATAATTAATTGAAACGAATTCTGCTGTCTATCAGGAAATCCTGAAGGAGAATGTCTGTTCACCAGTTTGTGACCTAAAGCTCAAGCTCAGCTGGGTTATGCAGCAGGACAATGATCCAAAACACACAAACAAGTCCACCTCTGAATGGCTCAAAAAAAAACAAAATTAAGATTTTGAAGTGCCCAAGTTTAAGTCTTAACTTGAATCTCATTGTGATGCTAATACTTTTTCACAGCACTGTATGAGTGGGTTTACATTGAAAATTCCAACAATTTGCTGTCAATCATAACTCCTACAAGTTCTTTATAAGATCAAGTTTATAGAGGAAAACTATGTAAAACAGTGATTATGCTGTGGCATCTAGCATTCACTTAAGTTACATAATGTTGACTTGCCTGTTTTGACTTGGGTTGTCCAGCTGAATGACCTTTTCTCTTTCTCCTGACAAGCCACACAACAACAACAACAACAACAACAACAACTTTAATAACAATACTTCTAGTGTAGGGTTACCATTTATTGCAATTTGGTCAATTTGCTTAGCAAGAAATTTTATTTTATTGGCACAATGTCTTCAATAATAGGAAATAAATGTAAATAGAAATATAGCCACAAGTGGCAATCTGAGGGTCCAAGCGTATGTCAGCTCAATAACGCCTTATGCAGTTTGTTCCAATGAGGCCTCACGAAGGCTAATGCAGTTTGAGCCGTATTCACAGACAGAAGATAGGGCTTTAGTAGAAGACAAATTACATGATGCATGCTAAAGTGTATACATACGGATCCTTTGACCTTTGTATAATATTCAACAGGTTTTAACAAAGAAGTGAAAAAAAAATACATATGACAAATGGGACAATTTCTAATATTATTTTTTTCTGCCAAGTTGTTTAGCTGTTGGTTTGAACCATTTGATGTGCATACCATAATGAGGCTCAACACAACTTTAGAGGCCATTTTGCCATACACAAGAAAAGTGATAGGGGGTCAGAGATTGTCAACAGGTCTCCATATGTTACTATTATTGATGAAGGGCCTTCAACATTTTTTGAGTTTTGCACAGATTGACCTTTTTGACCTTAGTATAATAAGCTAAAGACTTTGAACATATATGTCAAAATACTACAAGGAGTCCAATTTCTGACATAATGTGTAATGGCAAAGTTACTGAGGTCAAAGAACTGCATCACATGACACTCACTGTTTATCTACAGACCAAATTTTTTTTTGTAAATCATCAAAATCTGAGTATATGAAAGTCTTCCAAACTTTGAGAAAGATTTGGATTGAGTGCTTCTGAGTTATAGCAATTTAAATTATATATGACAAGGCCGCAATGATTAGACATAAAACAATCAATAGAGAGATTATATTAAAAAGGTCAATATTTTTTGATAATTATTTATCTACAGCGGCCACAGATTATTTAAAAAATACTTGCCTTGAAACCCTAGTACTGATGCCAAAAGTACTAATTTCAAACAATTAAATGTGACAAAACTATGCATTTTTTTGAAAACAATGAAATCACAAAGTTGCAGGGCTCACTGCAAGGAATTTTCAAGTGACCGAGATCCTTATAGATCCAGTTATAATCTCCCTCAAAGATGGAACATGCATAATTTCAGCTTGACTGGATGTACAGATGCTGAGAAAAAGCTATTTAGCAGTTACAGCACCCCTCATGATATACATGTATCAATATTGACAGATATTAGAGATCAATATTGATCTCAAAATTACAGTGGGGCAAAAAAGTAATTAGTCAGCCACTGATTGTGCAAGTGCTCCTACTTAGAAAGATGAAAGAGGTTTGTAATTTTCATCATAGGTACACTTCAACTATGAGAGAAAAAATGAGAAAAAAAAAAATCCAGGAAATCACTTTGTAGGATTTTTAAAGAATTTATTTGTAAATTATGGTGGAAAATAAGTATTTGGTCAATAACAAAAGTTCAACTCAATACTTTGTAACATAACCTTTGTTGGCAATGACAGAGGTCAAACGTTTCCTGTAAGTCTTCACCAGGTTTGCACACACTGTAGCTGGTATTTTGGCCCATTACTCCATGCAGATCTCCTCTAGAGCAGTAATGTTTTGGGGCTGTCGCTGGGCAACACAGACTTTCAACTCCCTCCACAAATTTTCTATGGGGTTGAGGTCTGGAGACTGGCTACGCCACTCCAGGACCTTGAAATGCTTTTTACGGAGCCACTCCTTTGTTGCCCGAGCAGTGTGTTTGGGATCATTGTCATGCTGGAAGACCCAGCCACGTTCCATCTTCAATGCTCTGACTGATGGAAAGAGGTTTTGGCTTAAAATCTCACGATACATGGCCCCGTTCATTCTTCCCTTAACACGGATCAGTCGTCCTGTCCCCTTTGCAGAAAAACAGCCCCAAAGCATGTTTCTTCACAGTAGGTATGGCATTCTTGGGATGCAACTCAGCATTCTTCTTCCTCCAAACATGACGAGTTGAGTTTTTACCAAAAAGTTCTATTTTGGTTTCATCTGACCACATGATATTCTCCCAATCCTCTTCTGGATCATCCATATGCTCTCTGGCAAACTTCAGATGGGCCTGGACATGTACTGGCTTAAGCAGGGGGACATGCCTGGCACTGCAGGATTTGAGTCCCTCTCGGCATAGTGTGTTACTGATGGTAGCCTTTGTTACTTTGGTCCCAGCTCTCTGCAGGTCATTCATCAGGTCCCTCCGTGTAGTTCTGGCATTTTTGCTCACCGTTCTCATGATCATTTTGACCCCACGGGATGAGATCTTGCCTGGGGCCCCAGATCGAGGGAGATTATCAATGGTCTTTCATTTTCTTACAATTGCTCCCACAGTTGATTTATTCACACCAACCTGCTTGCCTATTGTAGATTCACTCTTCCCAGCCTGGTGCAGGTCTACAATTTTCTTCCTGGTGTCCTTCGACAGCTCTTTGGTCTTGGCCATGGTTGAGTTTGGAGTCTGACTGTTTGAGGCTGTGGACAGGTGTCTTTTATACAGATAACGAGGTCAAACAGGTGCCATTAATACAGTAATGAGTAGAGGACAGAAGAGCTTCTTAAAGAAGAAGTTACAGGTCTGTGAGAGCCAGAAATCTTGCTTGTTTGTGGGTGGCCAAATACTTATTTTCCACCATAATTTACAAATAAATTCTTTAAAAATCCTACAAAGTGATTTCCTGGATTTTTTTTGCTCATTTTGTCTCTCATAGTTTAAGTTTACCTATGATGAAGATTACAGACCTCTCTCATCTTTCTAAGTAGGAGAACTTGCACAATCAGTGGCTGACTAAATACTTATTTGCCCCACTGTATCTGTTACATAAGCTGGTGAAGTTTCATTGGAAATGGATAAAGCACACAGGAGTTGTTGTTTAAGTAAACTTTGCTCCAATCCAGAAGGACTTATTAGCATATGGCATCCACATTGTTTTGAGATGTGAAAGTGTTTTTAATAATTACTGTGGTTCAGGGGCTTGTGAATGTTTTGATATCATTTACATTTACCCAGTGAGGACTGGGTGAAAAACCTATGACTAGTTCACAAAAGTAGATTTTTCATATTATGTAAATTAGCAAAAACATAAGTTGGTATATAAATATAAAAATAAGGCTTTTTTCTGTGGTGTAGGTGTTGCAGGCCAAATAGCATAGTGCTGCGCTATAGTGCCTCCTTCAGGCTGATCAGACTTATCTCTCTCACCTGAGTAGCAAGAGAGAAGTAGTACTTGTTGACCAATGTTGTATGACTTGCAGTTTGGTCTGCACATTTTGTTTAAGTGAAGAATCAGAATAATGATAAGAAGAAAACATGAACGAGAGCAATATAGTTCATATGTGCTGGAACACTAATTGTACAATGAATAAGTATTCATAGTTATGTATTTTCAAGTAAATTGTGGAAAAAAAGTACATGTGCTTACCTTATAAACAAAAAGGCAAGGATGAGGAATACGCCTCCACTCCCAACTATGATGCCGGCAATGATGTAGAGAAAAACATTCGGATGACCTGTGCGTGAAAAAACAGTGTGCAAATGCCAAAGATCATTCTTTAATGATACTGATACTGTTGAAATACTCTTTGGGCCATCTAAAGGTAGAATGACACATTACACTTCATTATACTGTAATAACAGCACAGGGTGATCTAATCTTTGGATCAGATAAGGTGTCTACAAAATGATACTTTTACAAAATACAAACTATACTTAAATAAAACATTCAGAGTTAGAGCTTCAGAGAGTTTCTCTCCATGTTCATTACTGGATCTGCACTTGTATTCTCCACTGTCCACAGAGCTGATCTTGTTCACTGTGTAAGTCTCTCCTTTTGCTACTAATGATGTTCCTTTAAACCAGTTATATTCCACAGGTGGGTTTGCATCACTGCTGCAGGTCAGAGTCACTGAACTGCCCTCTACTGTTTCACCAGAGGGACTGATGGAGACTGATTACAGGTTATGGAGGTGTTTTTATCAGGTTTTGTTGCAGATAATTAAAAGTTTGAGCACTGTTTTCATGCAGCTCAAATTGGACCTTAGCACTTGATCACTTAATGCTTCACTACTGTGTGTCTGTGTTTTAACTATCCAATAAAACCAGTGAATGTTTTACTCATATTCATCTTCTCTCATAAAAATCATGATTTTACTGTGATTCAGTTTAGACTGATTCCACTCAGAGGGTGTATAAAGGGTGTAGAATCATCTCTGAGTTGTGGAGCTGATCCAGAATCAGATTCAGTTCCAGTTAATTATGATATCTTTTTTTACCTATTTATTAACAAACAAACCTGTACTTACATCTGACATTCAGAGTGACCTCAGGAGAGCGAAGGTTCAGACCCAGTACAGCACAGCGATACCTGCCTGCATCCTCCCTGCTGACCGACTGCAGGTGGAGTTGGTCAGTTCTGGAGGATAAACGATGTCCATTTCTGTACCAGGTGAATGTTGTTCTGACTGTCAGACTGCAGGTGGTTCTACATGTGAGAGTGACTTTATCTCCCTCTATCACTCTCTCAGGAAGCTCCACCTGGAGATCTGAGAACAAAAGAAAACATTCATTTTGTGGAGACTCACATTAGCTGACTGAATGCATGGCTTTACAACCATCAATATAAACATATACACTTAAAATCAGACTTTTATAAACAATCAGGAGGCATTTCACCCATTACATTAACATGACACAGTTTAGACTTGAACATTAATTCCACTTCCAAGGTGTTTACACTTTTCACAAGCATCTCTGAGTTGATCTGTGTTGATCTGACATCAGATTCCAGTCTTGTTCATAGTGACCTCAGTCAGAGAATCATATTTTAGATCAGCACTTTTACTCCTAAATGCTTTGTGAATTCTGGTTCTCCACTAAGCAGTGTGTTTCTCAAGTGTGCTATGAAGGATTGATGCTGAGAAACAGCTATTTAGCAATAACAGCACTACTAATGATATACGTGTCAATATCGGCAGGTGATCTCAAGATAAGCCTGTGAAGTTCCATTGGAATTGAACAAAGAATTCATGAGCTGTTGTTTAAGTAAACTTTGCTCCAATTCAGAAGGATTCATTAGTTTTTGATAATTACGGAGGCTCAGGGGCTTGTGAATATTTTGATATCATTTACATTAACCCAATGAGGATTGGGTGAAAAACGTATGACTAGTTCACAAAAGTAAGCTTTGCATGTCATACAAAAATTTGATCCAAGGAACCAAAAGAAATACGTTTTCTGTATAATTTGTGGTGTAGGACTTAAAGGCCAAAATGCATAGCACTAGTGCCCCCTTCAGGCTGATCAGGCTCATCTCTCTGCCCTGAGTAGCAGGAGGGAAGTACTACCTGTTGACCAATGTTCATGTCTGTACAAACTGCAGTGTGTTTCTCAGGTGTGCTATGAAGGGTTTATGTTATCATATTGCAGAACTGCTTTGTGAATCCTGAACACCAGTGAATGAAGTACAGTGTCTTATTTCTGCTGATGGATCTTACCTGTGACTGAAAGATCAACTCCACCTGCACCTTGATACTTTCCTTTGGGCTGGTTTGTTATAAATCTGAAGTAATATTTACTTTGATCCTTTTCTGTCACATCACTCAGTCTGAGAGTGCAGCTGTGTTGTTTATCTCCGAGGTACTGAACTCTGCCTCTGTACTCTGGATCATCTAACAGATCAGGAGGTTCTACATCAGTAATCCAGTTTTTGGTCCAGAAAGCTTTTTGGACTGAGTGACCACTTGGAGGTGTGTAAGTGCAACTCATGGTCACTGCAGACCCCTTTAGAGCACAGATAGATTTAGAGTTGTAATACACAGCCCACCCATCCTGAGCAACAACTCCTGCAACACAAAATACAGAAATGTGTAAATTATTACTGTTTGGGTCTCAGTCAGTAAAAATGCTGCATAAAGTCTCCACTTCAGCTCATTTCTAAGACTCTTCATTTCAGCTGAGTTTGAATGATCAGCAGCAATAAGTTGAGCTCATTTAGAGACAAAAGCACAAAGTGAGAAGCTCCACAGGTCTAACAGTAGAGCATGTTTTTTGGGGTGGGTTTGGGGGGATTGCAGAAACTACTGCACAGAGCTCACTGTTCACACATAGCATATTTTATAATTCTTTTTAATAGTGTTGTAAAACAATGTCTCATTATATAACTACACTGACTCACCATAAATTAGGAGTAGAAAGACCAGAGAGGTGGGGGGAGTCATTCTCAGTGACATCATCATAGCAGAATCTACAAACACAACAGGAAATATATTTTTTTGGTTAATGTTTCAAAACAAGCATCATATTTATCACTCTGTGTTGACTCTGGCCTCGTCAGGATAACTTTGTCTGTATGTGGGCTTTTGTGGTTAAAAGAATCTAAGAGGTTTTGTAGATGTTCATATCCAGACATTCAGAGTCTAGAAGCTTATTGTAACATTTTCACCATGATATTTCTGGAGTTGCAATTGGTTTAGATGTCGGAGCATCAGAAATAATGTACATGTATTTTAGAAATGTATTATATTAATAAAAATAATGAAGCATTTCTTACCTGGCTGATGGCCGTCTCATCACCATTTACAGTCTTGCCTGACTATCTGTTTGTTCTCACATTCTGAACATTCACACACACGTTTAGCATCGTTCTTCTGCTTTTTGTTGCATCAGTCTTTCTTTGCAGAATGATGCAGCACTTCATCAGCAGATAAACCTTTTCATGTATAGTTATTAAATAGGCTGAGCTAAACCTGAAAATGTTGAATACACTCTCATATACATTTTATTAACAACTAGACCAATAAATATAATTTTCTAATTGGAATGTCAGTTTTATAGCTAGCTAACACATCTGTCACAGCCAGTGTATATGTTTAAATAGGACCACTTAAGTCAGACTACTGTTCATTCTTGTTACAGGTGCATGTCTGTGAGCTGTCTATTGTATCATGCATGGATAATACAGAAAGCAAGAGTAATAAATGAATGCACAGAGGGAGTGTGCAGAGACAGAGAGAGAGAGAGGCGGGGGGAAGAGAGGTCAAGTGTGAGAGTGCAGTGTTACAAAAAAGAGGAAGTCTGATAAACCAGCTTCCTACACTAGCAAAGTCACCGCAGCCCCCCACAACCCACAACCCACACTGTGCTGTTTTGACTGACCCTGAGGTTCCGTCATGTTGTCATAGAGACGAGTATGTGTATGTGTTTAATCCTTCCATGTGTCTGTGTCAGGAATTGACAGCAATGGTGGTATATATTAAACTCTTTTTACAGTTCCACTACAACATAAACACATAATGCTGGTCTTTTCCCAACAGCCATGAATCTCTAACTAAACTGAGGAGTGTAAACCCCGATAATGAGACCAAAACAAAGAGCAGACATACATTTACAGTAAACAGCTGTGCAAAATATAAACTTCATGTTGACACACCCAGAGAAGTCAAACACGACGAGGCAAGAGCCCATTTTTATTTAAACACAGAGAATAAGAGGCTTTAAACTTAAGCTATAATATTATAAACAAAAGCACAAGCAGTTTCGAAAACAAACCTTTCAAACTAAACTGGATGTAAAAGTATAAAATGAAAACATAATAAGAAGTTAAAAAGCTAGAAGGCCTGTTTAGAGCCACACTGGTCTCCTTAATAGAAAGATATATTATAACTCAGTGTACTGAAGTGTCTCTCCTGAGGTAAACACTGAAGAGCAACTTGTAATGAGTTAGCTATCAAATACTGTTTCCAGTGAAGAGTAATGAGCACAAAGTCTGTCAGACCCACAGTATTAATGGCTCACCAAAAGGCATTTTTGAGCCGAGATGATGGCATAATTGCAGACTAACCCCTTAAAACCCCAGGCTTATTATGTACTAAAGCGTATTATTCAGTAAGTACAGGTACTTCAATGCAAACTGGTTGAGCTATTCTTAGTTTATAGAAGTATGTAATAAAGCTTTGGTCCCGCAGGTGGGCCCTGGCCATTTCAGGCATTCATTGCAGGCCTAACAGTCATAATTTGTGTTAATGTTGTCTCCACAGAAATGATGTCAATGTCATTGTGAGTGAAGCTTTATTGTTGGGCTCCATATTCTCCAGGTGGTGGTGCTGTTACCCATGGTGTCCTAAGATGTTGTTCAGTCTTGTTTGTGTTCAGTGTTTATGGTATTTCGAATGGTCGTCTCTGAAGTAACTGCAATGGTGAAATTTAGTCCAGTGATCATCCAGTCGCTGTCGGAAGGACCAATTCACAAAATGGTCATAGATAAAGGGAAGAATGGGTCAACTCAAAACTGAATGTTTCATTTGTTTCTCTTTCCAGTGAGAGTCCAATAGATACAGATGAAGTTCTGTCCATGGGTCATAACGGTGGTCCTGAACAGATCTGTGAATGTTGGTTATTTCACACTGCAGTAGATCACTGAGGGGTCCTCAAGTGTGGAAGTAGCAGACCTGCATTAACAGAACAAACAGTGTGACCTACAGTAACTCTTTACCTGAGATACCATGGCAACTACCTAGCAACACCTCTAGCAACCAGTTTGGATACCATGGCAACTGCCTAGCAACACCCTAGCAACCACCTGGAATACCACAGCAACCACCTAGCAACACCCTCAGCAACCATCTGGAATTCCACAGCAACTACCATTCAACACCTAAGCAACCACATAAAACACCGTAGCAACTGTCTTGCAACAGCTTAGCACAGCTGAGTACTTACTTAGTTATTAAGTAGTAACTAATGCTTAATGAACACTTAATATAATAATAATGAGCAGTAAATTAGTTTTTTAACAACACCTTTACTTAAAGTGTTATTCTTATATGTAATTCAAGTTTGGTAGGAAGCTGTGGTACAAAAGACTAAATTAGCTTGATAAGTTTGGTTGCTCTCACCTGTCGGTAGCACCAGTGTGATTAAATCTGACAGTAGCATAATGAACATCCCCTTCAGTCCCACAGGCAGAAGCTGTCACTGCAGAGCTCTCAGCATTCCTGGGGTTTCTGACTCTCTGAGGTAAAATGTTGGAATAATGAACATTTGGATCAGGTGTTCTGTTTGCAGATCTCACTGCCACATCACTGTAGAGATTTTCCTGTAGTGAGAAATAATAACACATTTAGACATTTGGAAAACATCTCATGATTTTATTAAGATATGCTAGCAGGTGCTGTAATAAATTTAATTAGCATAAAATATGTAGCTCAAATACATTTGCATTCAAATATATTTAGGTTATGCTAACACTTGTTCTTGTTGTTTTGTAGTGTTATTTGTTATTGGATGTATGGACTATCACCATTCTCACCACTCCTAGCTAGAGATGAGCAATACTGAGTTTTAATCAAAGTGAATATAGCCTTCAAATCTTTTTAAAACAAAGGTTAAAATGTCAGTAGACCATATATTGCATAAAACAATTTTTGATATTATGATTGACTTGCCTGTCTTTGGTTTGCATCATCAGCTGAACTGCCTCTTCTCTTTCTACTGAAAAGAAACAGCAGTAAAAGTAAAAATATTGTGTTGTGCTTTAGTTAGATGCTCTTTTATTGAACACAGCACAGTGAAGAACTGTAGCTTAGTGCTGCTAAAACTGAAAAGAGAGCAGGCCGACATGTAGCGGGTCATTACAATATTATTTGTAGCGATAATAATGTGCAAAAATCCCTACATAAATATTTTTTACTGATACATACAAAAGATTGGTTCCAAAGACGAAAATCAGTAAGTTATAGTAATAATAATCTGCATTAATATTGGCTTACCTTACACATAAAATAACAATGATAACAAATAAACATCCACATCCAGCTAAGACTCCAATAACTGCATACAGAACTGCATTCCCAACCCCTGTGTGCAGATGAAGGTTATGCTAATTTTTAAGAAAATTGCTGTTATTCTGTTTATATTTGTATTATTCATCACTAATACCTTTTTCAGTGACAGTCACTGCAGCTGATTTCTGAGATCCGTGTTCATTCTGAGCCACACAGTAGTAGGATCCACTCTGTAGAGCCCTGTAACTGTGTCCAGATCCTACAGGTGAGCTTCCACCTTCTTTAAACCAGGTGTAGTTCTGCACAGGTGGGTTTGCATCACTGCTGCAGGTCAGAGTCACTGAACCGCCCTCCACTATTTCACCAGAGGAACTAATGGACACTGAGACATTCTTTGGGCCATCTAGAGGTAGAAAGACACATTACACTTTATGAGAGAGCTTTTCTGTTTGGATAAATAAACATTTAAAGTCCTGTAGCAATATTTAATATTTAATAGCAGACACACATCATTAACCTCAGCATATACAGATCACTGTTGTTACAGCTTTACAATTAATTTCACAAAAGACTCAGAATAAAACATTCCCAAACATTTATTGATGCTTTGAATCATTTATTTGTTTTTGTTAAATGAATGAATGAATCTGTACTTACATCTGACATTAAGAGTGACCTCAGGAGAGTTCTGACCCAGTACAGCACAGTGATACCTGCCTGCATCCTCCCTGCTGACTGACTGCAGGTGGAGTTGGTCAGTACTGGAGGATAAATGATGTCCATTTCTGTACCAGGTGAATGTTGGTCTGACTGTCAGACTGCAGGTGGTTTTACATGTGAGAGTGACTTTATCTCCCTCTATCACTCTCTCAGGAACCTCCACCTGGAGATCTGAGAACCAGAGAAAACAAACTTATACTGTGGAGACTCACACTAGCTGAGTGAGTGTGTTAATGGTGTCTTAAATATTTCTGCATGAAAGTACAAATAAAATTAAAATAAAATTAAACATAAATCCTGATGCTTGCAGAAGCTCAGATTTGACCACTGGACATAATACAGAAATATATAGTGATTTGAGTGAGAGTGAGAGAGAATACTACATCAAATCTCTCTGAAATGCTTTATAATTTCCAGTCCTCCAGTCCTAAGCAGTGTTTTTCTCAGGTGAGCTATAAAGAACTGATGTAATATATTTCAGAACTGCTGGAGGAATCCTGTACAGCAGGGGTCACACAGAGTGTGAAACGAAACACTGAATTAACCTACCCAGAAAATTCAATTCAGAGGATAAATAACTCATTAAATCATGTAACATGACTTAGTTCTGCTATGATGCTCTTATCCAGGGCAACTTAAAAAGAGTGCTTTGCCTACCTAGAGACAGTATCTTTGCTAGTTACAAATAGGTTAGAGAGAAAGCCAGTCCTGAGCTCAGATACTGCTAGAAACAAAACCCCATGTTCATACCTAAAGAAAAAGGGAAAAAAATAAACACAGCACAGTGCAATACATTTCAAGAAGTGCAGTACAATACATTACAATAAATACTTAACTCAGTCCTCAGTTAAGTGTTGTAAAAAACATAGAATGAACCACTTTGCCTAAATCCAGCATATATCGGTTCACTCAGGAAGAAGAGAAAGCCATGGGGGATCTGGATCATTGTCAAGAAGAAGAATTGAGTTCTCAGGCCGTGTATAGGCTATTGTGCACTTGACATCACCAATCCACTTATCCTTTACCTCCAATCTGCTTTAGAACAAGTCTGTGGTGCCCAGTTGTTTTTTTGTTTTTTTTTTTTTAGAGTGAAAAACAGTATTCATCACCACTAGGGTGCACTACGAGTACTCCATTATGCCTTTTGGTTCATCTAATGTGCTGTCAGTCTTCCGATCTTTCATCAGTCATGTCCTCCGGGACATGATAGGGAAATCCATAATTGCATACATCGATGACATCCTAATCTAATCAATTGATTATGAAACACATGTACAACAAGCGCTTCAAGTCTTGCAAAGCTTACTAGAAAATGATTTATTTATCAAGGGAGAGAAATGTGAATTCCATCTTCAGAAAGTCTCCTTCCTCAGGTACATCATTAGTTCACAGGGAGTTTTGATGGATGATCAGAAAGTTGAAGCTGTTGTTAATTGGCCTACCCCCACAAATGTCAAAGAATTGAAGATGTTCTCAGGCTTTGCTAACTTTTACAGAAGATTCATTTGAAATTTCAATTCTGTGCTTCTTAAGGGAGCATCTAAAAGGTTAATTTGGGGTCCACGACTGGGCCAATTCTGAAACGCCCTGATCCTTTCAAGCCATTTGTAGTGGAGGTAGATGCTTGGAGTAGGAGCAGTCCTAACTCTGCATAGTGATGACCCTGAGAAATGATATCCCATCACATTTTATTCGCATAAACTAAGCCCTGCAGGAAGAAATTATGGCATAGTAGATTGAGACTTTCTAGCTGTTAAGCTTGCACTTGAGCAAGGGCACCACTGGCAGAAGCGAGTGGCTCACCCTTTTCTGGTACTAATTGCCCATAAGAATTTAGAATATCTTTGTTCTGTCTTATGCCTTGTGATGGACTGGTGACCTGCCCAGGGTGTATCCTGCCTTCAACCCAATGACTGCTGGGATAGGCTCCAGCTCCCCCCATGACTCAGAAGGATAAGTGGCTTAGAAAATGCTCTTTGCTCCTGTCAACCTGGTGAATTTCGCACTCAACAATTGTTACTCAATCAATGTTGGTGGGAGACTCTTAAGCATGATGTGTACAGATTTATAGCCTCTTGTTCTGGATGTGCAGAAAGTAAAACCCCCAAAACACTTCCAGCTGGCAAACATATCCCTTTACCCATACCAGAGCGTCCATGGTCTCACATAGCAATTGATTTCGTCATTACTGTAAAGAAGTAAATCTTATTCCTGTAAAATCTCTACTGAATGCTTTTGATGCAGCCCTAGCTCTATATGAACACATTTGAATGAACACAATTTCAGATCAGGATTCACAATTCACATCCAGAGTCTGGTCGGGCTTCTGAGAACACTTAGGAATTGATGACAGTCTCACCTCAGGTTATCACCAGTGTAAAAGAGTCAATCAAGAATTAGGAAATTTTCTCCATTCATTCAGTAGTAGTAACCCAAAAGACTGGTCAAAGTATTTAATCTGGGCAGAGATCGCACAAAACTCTCTGATATGTTCTGCCACTCAAATTACACCATTACAGTGTATTCTAGGTTATCCACCTCCTCTTGCCCCCTGGACTGCTACACCTTCAGACATCCCCAGCATCGATGACTGGAAGAAGCGCAGCAAGGAGGTCTGGGAATGAACCTACTGGGTAGTGGCTAAGGACTTCTTTGACCCTGGGTTGGTGATGATTTTCATGTCAGGCATCCAGAGAAGCCAGTTCCACAGCCTAGAGGACACCCTGAGAAGAACATCTCAAGCTCCTGTCTGGTCCAATCCAGTGGCCCAGCTCCCATCTGCCACCGGAATAGTTCCAGGGTTTTGCCCTCTGACACCTCTGGTCGGGCAGGTGGTTGTCGTTGCAGGTGCCCTCGTTCCTCTGCCATCCTGGACTCCTGGGGAGGTACTGTCACGCCTCCTTCCGGCATGGCTGAGACTACAGCTAACGCTGGTGCTCCAGACTTTCCCAGGATTTCCCAGAACCCCTTGCTGCATCACATTACTCAGGACTCTCACCGATCAACCTATCACCGTTCATCACTGAACTTCTAATCATACACACCTGTTACATCGGGTGTATATAATAGCATGTCTGGAACTCTTGTATGACCTATTTACTGTTTACGACCTTGATTCTAGCCTTATCAATTTGCTCTGTTTTGATTTTCTGGTTTTCGACTTTCTGCTTTTGTTTACCGACTGTGATTTTAGACATCCCCATTGGTATTAAAGTTTTCAACTCAAGCCTCTGTTGCAAGCATCTGCTTCTGTCTGCCACCATTACAACAATCTAGAATTCATTGGAATGAATCATTTCTCTATTAACTTCCATTAAAAATTAAAAATGTTAATTTTTTTTTCCAACCGATGTGTTATTTTATTTTATTAGTTGCCTGAACTAATCACTAATACTTAACTATGTTATGTTATAATATGTGTCTGAGACTTTGTAAGTATGAAAGAATGAAATGTTAAGTAACTGGACATTTGCAAGTTTTAGTTGAATACTATTGCTGTAAACCAGTGAATGAAGTACAGTGTCTTATTTCTGCTAATGGAGCTTACCTGAATAAACTAAAAGATCAACTCCACCTTTACCTTGCCACTTTCCTCCAGATTGGTCTGTTATAAATCTGAAGTAGTATTTACTTTGATCCTTTTCTCTCACATTCTTCAGTCTGAGAGTGCAGTCGTGTTGTTCATCTCCAAGGTACAGAGCTCTGCCTCTGTACTCTGGATCATCTAACAGATCAGGAGGTTCTTTCTCTGTAACTAACTTTTTGCTCCAGAAAGCTTTTTGGACTGAGTGACCATTTGGATATGTGTAAGTGCAGCTCATCGTTACTGCAGACCCCTTTAGAGCACAGATAGATTTAGAAATGTAATTCACAGCCCACCCATTCTTGCCAACAACTCCTGCAACACAAAATACAGAAATGTGTAAATTATTACTATTTGGGTCTCAGTCAGTAAAAATGCTGCATAAAGAAGCTCCACAGGTCTTTAAAAAGGTACAAATGTAAACCCGAATCTAACACTCCACAGACACTCATCTAACACTCCACTCTCAGATTATGCTGAGAACTAATTCCTAAATAGCACATTAGTCATATTTTGAAATTCTGTTTAATAACATACAGAAATGTCTGATTATGTAACTACACTGACTCACTGTAAATTATGACTAGGAAAACCAGAGAAGTTATTCGGAGTGACATCATAACAGAGTCTACAAACACAACAGAAAATAAAATGTGGTTTGTTTATCAAGCATCATATTTATCACTCTGTGTTGACTCTGGCCTCGTCATGATGCCTCTGTCTGTATGTGGGCTTTTGTGGTTAAAATAAACACATGAAGTTTTGTAGATGTTCATATCCAGAGTTTAAGAGTCTAAAAGCTTATTGAGTAATATTTTCACGATGAAATTTTATTAATGAGTAAAATTTAATTAACAGCTTGTAGCAGTTAATTAAAAGAAAAAAAAACAAAACAAAACAGAGCAGTTACAAGAACTTGTACCGGCAACATGCGATCTGGAGTTGCTCTTGGCTGAGATCAGAAGCATCTGTACAAATGGACACATATAAGAAATTTACTTTATCATTTTATATAATGAAGCATTTCTTACCTGGCTGATGGCAATCTCAACACTGTTTACTGTCCAAACAGCAAATGAATAAAGAAGCAGCAGCGTTGAGGTCTTAAACTGCAACACTGTCTTTGGGTTCTCACAGTCTGAATGTTCACACACATGTTTAGCATTGTTCTTCTGCTTTTTGTTGCGTCAGTCCTCCTTTGCACAACTACACACCACTCCAACAGCAGAGAGGAAGTTAGGGAACCAGCCTTGTAATCAGAAGGTCGCCGGTTTGATCCCCTGAGCTGATTGGAGATGACTGAAGTGCCCTTGAGCAAGACACCTAACCCCCAACTGCTCCCTGGGCACCGTGGATAGGGCTGCCCACCATTCTGGGCAAGTGGGTTCACTGCCCCCTAGTGTGTGTGTGTGTGTGTGTGTGTGTGTGTGTGTGTGTGTGTGTGTTCCCTAGTGTGTAAGTGGGTGTTTCACTGCACAAATGGATTACGTGCAGAGGTGAATTTCCCCATTGTGGGACTAATAAAGGGTAACTTATTATTATTATTATTATTATTATTATTATTATTATTATTATTATTATTATAACTTATTAAACCTGAGAATGTTGAATACACTCTTGCATTAAATTTTATTAAGAACTAGACCAATAAATATAATTTTATAATTGAAAAATCAGATTTACAGCTCGCTAAAACATCTGTCAGAGGCAGTGTGTATCTTTAAACAGGCATCTTTAAGAAAAAAAATATTGTTTAATCTTGTTACAGGTGCATGTCTGTGAGCTACCCTTTGAGGGCAAATAATCATGGTCAGGAATGCACACAGAAAGCAGGCAGTGTGCAGAGATAGAGAGCAAGTGAGAGAGTGCAGCTTCACAAAAAAGAGGAAGTCTGGTTAAGGCAATTTCCTACACTAGCAAGGCCACCACAACACACACTGTGCTGTTTTGACAGATCTGACCTATTCATAAAAGGAAATATTTCACTGTTCTAGGATACATCATTAGCTCAAACGGTGTGGTAATGGATGATCACAAATTAGATGAAGATGGCTGAGACCCAATTTAGAGAAAAATGTACAAAGATTCTTAGAATGTGCCTAACTTCTATCTGTGTTTCATTAGAAACTTTAGTTGTATCACTGTGCTTCTTACTGCTCTTCTAAAAGGTGCATCTAAGAAATTAACTTGGTCCTTACAAGTAGAGAGGGCTTTTGAGGCTCTGAAAAAGGCATTCACATCTGCTTCTTAAAATACCCAGATCCATCCGAACCTTTTAAAGTAGAAGTTGGTGCCCCGGTCTACACTGTCCAACAGTTGAACTCCAGGAGACAAGAAGGAGATTTCAATACCTTGTCGACTGGGAGGGTTTTGGCCCGGAGGAGCAATGCTGGGTTCCAGCTCGCAATATTCTGGACCCTGAATTTATCACAGACTTTCATAGCCAACACCTGGACAGGCCAGCTCTTCATCCTAGGGCTTGTCCCAAGAGGGCCCCTTTCATCTCAATCCCTGGTCACTCTCATGGTCGTGGGGTAAAGATCCCATTGGTCCAGAACCATGGCAGCTCTGTGAATGCTTCTGTTCTGTTTCTCTGTTTTTTGTAGTTTGCCCTTTGCCTCTTCCCTTTTGGATTTGTTTGCATGATCTTCTTGTTACGGTTATCTTTTTTTGTACTTTGTCTTTACTGGATTTGATCGTTGCCTGTTTTCTGACAATAACTTTGAATAACAGACTGATTTGTAAAGTTTACTTTGCTCTTTTTATCCACAGATTTTGTCACATTACACAGTGCTATTATAGCCATAAACTAATCTGCATTAAAAATTAGTGAAACTGAGCAAACCTTTGACAGAGGTGGACACTGGCCAATTCAGAATGGCCCCGGCCTTAGAGTCATCTATACTTACTCCCTGTGGACGTTTTATTATAATGCGGAAAAGAAGTGAACTTTAAATGGAATTCATGACCTGACGGACGTGACTTATGTGTAAAGAAAGGTCTGGAGAGTATGTCAGAATGTCATGAATGTACACTATGACAAATGTTCCCAACATGTCTCTTAACACATCAGTAATGAACGTCTGGAAGGCGGAAGGAGCATTCAAGAGACCGAATGGCATGACTAAGTACTCATAGTGCCCCATATTAGTGATGAAGGCTTGTCTTCCACTCATCACATTCCTTAATCATAACCAGGTTGTATGCACTATGAAGGTCTAACTTAGAAAGGCCTCTGAGTTGTTCTAAAGCAAACAGAACTAATAGTAAACAGTAGGGATAGGTTTTGATAATTTGGTTGAGCCCTCAGTAATCTATACATGAAAGTCCTAAAATGACTGAGTAGGCAGAAGAGATTAATGCAAAGAAACTAATTTCCTCCCTATGGAAAGCACTAGTGAACATAGTAACTGGCATAGTGAGAGTCTCAATAATTCCCTCTCCAACAGGGTCTCTATCCACAGCTGACAAGCAAAGAAATGCTGGAAGACATTCCACTGGGATCTGAGTCGATTAATGCTGAAAAGACATGGACAGAATTGAAGGAGCACAGCAGCACAGGTAATTGAAACGACTTCTTAACCAACACCTTTGTGGGTGCACTCACCACACTGAACGTGGAATTCACAAATAGGTTATTCTCTAGTAAGCATTGCAATACAGAATGCACCTAACACTTTCCAGGTGCTGCTGCCTGAGGTCTATGTGGACACACCTGACAGTCACGTAAAATGTGACCAGCAATACCATAGAACATGCATAGTCCTCCATGTATCCTCCAAAGTCACTCCTCCTGTGAGAGACAGGTTAAGTTGCACTGCATTGGGTCTGTCTGGACTGAGTCCTGAGTAGCGATGAATCCTCAATGATGGGCAGCTATAGTTTGGTGTAAATAGGTGGCCTTTGTAGATCTAAGTTGGTCTAGATGGATAGCTAAAGTGATAATGTCCTCTAACGAAAGTTCTCATCCTTGCAAGCCAGAATGTCTGCATGAAGACCACTAAGGAATACAATAACCAGAGTGGTTATTCCGACCACTGCCAGCAGCCAAGGTGTCCCTGAGAACGTCCTTCATGAGGGTGATCAAAGAGGAATCACTTTTTTCAACAAACTGTTCATAAGTGTCCCGTTAAGCATGTGACCACATGGTGGTGGCCCATTCTAAAGCTCGTCCAGTTAAATGTGAGATCAGAAAGGAGACTCGAGCGGTATCAGAACTGGGAGCAGAATTAATAAAAAAAAATTGGGCTTTGTAGTAGAAGCCCTCTACACTGGTCTGGTGAACCATCAAATTTGTCTGGCTTGCTAACAGGAGGCAGAGAAACAGATGGATTACTGCTACTTTGCTATACTCATCATCATTAAAATTCTGTAACCAAGTAGTAAATTCTCTCAAATTATTAGCAATCAAGGTCAACTATTTCTGATGTTTGCCCTGTTGTTGTGTGAGGGCACCTACTGACTGGCTGACCTACTGACTCAAACAGTAGATGATGTTGACGTAACATTGCACTTTGGTTACTTACTGTGGTTAGTAATTCCTTGATATCCATTGTCTGCATGGTGGGGAAAGTGTTCTGTAATGATAGGCTGATGAAAAAGACACTTGCAGATATAAAATAAACTGTAAGGTTTATTGAAAAAAGGATTGATAAAACAAAACTGGGTTCACACCAGACCAGACTAAAAATCAGTAGAGCAAAATACAATGCATGGAAGCAGGCAAAACTGTAGTCATAAGCAAGTGAGGGTCGGAATCAAAAGATCTAACAAACAGGTAAACAAAGCCAACAGGGAGAATCCAAAAAATGACAGAGAAACAAATCAGGGTCAAAAAAGGAATGAGAGGCAAACAGGAAAATGGCTTGGTATGTACTGATGGAACAGGGGCAGTACTTCACAATGTAACAATGAAAGAAACAGGCTTATATACAGTGGGGTGCGAAAGTTTGGGCAGCTTTGTTAGTTTTCCTGATTTACCTTTATAAATCATTGATTGTTTGGATAAAAAAATTCCGTGAAATATATCATATAGGGGACAAACACAGTGATACTTGAGAAGTGAAATGAAGTTTATATGATTTACAGAAAGTGTGCAATAATTGGTTAAACAAAAGTAGGCAGGTGCATAAATTTGGGCACTGTTGTCATTTTATTGATTTCAAAACCTTTAGAACTAATTATTGGAACTCAAATTTGGTTTGGTAAGTTCAGTGACCCTTGACCTCCATACACAGTTGACTCCAATTATGAGAAAGGGTATTTAAGGGGGGCAATTGTAAGTTTTTCTCCTCTTTGCATCTTCTCTGAAGAGTCGCAGCATGGGAGTCTCAAAACAACTTTCAAATGACCTGAAAACAAAGATTGTTCACCGTCATGGTTTAGGGGAAGGTTCACTCCTTCAAACACACACACTTATGTTTTAAAATATAAAACATACATGTATATAAAAGACTGCAGATGTTTTGGGCCATAAATAACATTTTTAGTAGTATAGTAGAGAACTAAGCTGATAAAGCCTGAGGACAAATCTTTTCTGGTTGGTGAGTCGTTTATCATCTGTAACTGCTGTCATTTTGTTGTATTGACTGTAATGTCAATGCAAAAATTACAAACATCCAAAAGCTGATCTTAATGCTAGTAAATGTTTCTTTCATATGTTTATATTTTCCTCTCAGTGTTCTACTAATTTAATTAAGTCACAGTCGGTCTCTTCCCACTAGCTACCCCCCACCCCACCTCTGGGTTTGGTTCAGTTTAAAATATATCATGGCCTGTTCTAGAAAGTTAATAATGCTAATTTTAAGTTAAGTAAGTTTATTAGAAGTCCACGTATATTACTGGAACGTGTATGTGTGTTTTGTTGCATTGACTTTTATTTTGATGGGCAGTGTTTGTGGTAGCAAAACTTCACAGAGCCCAGCAGTAAACATAGTGAACCCTAGCAGCTAACAGCTCAAGGCAAGAGTACCATTTTCCCCTCTTGCTTTGCACACTGTTTCTGAGTTTTTCACTAGGAGATGGCAGACATTCGACGTCCTTGCTGAAATAGCAAAAGCACCTAGGAGTCATACATCACACAACTTTGGATGGTCGCCCAGCATCAAGGCTGGACGGTGGCCATCACTGGGATACCGCTGTGCCTGACTCTGGAAGGAAAAGTGCTCCAGGTGCTCCTGGACCTGTTGGCAGAGTAGCATGGCGATTTAGCAGCTTTGGCCATCAAACCGACTTTGTTAGACATTTACAGTGATGGTGGTCCATATTAAACTCCTTTACAGCTCAACTACTATCTTTTTAAATCCAGACATTAAGATGAGTCCAGTTTCATTTTGGGACTTTTGCTCAGTTATGAATTTTAGTTTTCCTCAATAATAATAACATAATGGTCATCTTTTCCCAACAGCCATGAATCTCAGTCTAAATTGAGGAGTGCAAACCCCAATAATGAGACCAAAACAAAGAGCAGATGTACATTAACAGTAAACAGGCATGAAACATACAGACTTCTTGTTGACAAACCCACAGAATTTAAACATGACCATGCATTATTAATTTAATAAGAAGGTGAAATTTATTTATTTAGTTAGTTAATTATTCATTAATGAATTTATTCATTTACTCATTCAATGATTCACTCAAGCAAGGTCAAATGCTAACTGGGATGCTTATGCTTAGTGAGCACTGTAGCAAATAAACAAAAAACAAACACAAACAAACAAACACAAATGCATATGTATATAAGTTTCACACTTAAGCCAAAACATAAAATTATAAATCAGCATGTATGGAAGTACAAACATGCATAAAATAATGAGCTCAAACTACACTGGATGTGATCCACAATGAGTAAGAAGCTAAAAAGCTAGGAGGCCTGTGTACTGATACAATATTATATACTATATTGTATATAATAATATTATAACTCAAAGTACATTTTACATTTAAGCAAATATACAAGTACTTTATAAGTAGAAATATGGACTGAATACTTTTACTGAGTAGAATTTTTATTTATTTATTTATTTTACCAAGAATATATTTAATTTTACTCAAATATAGAAGTACCGTACTTTATGCACTCTTATCAATATTCTACCAAGGATCAGATCCACTTTTATCACAATGGGAGAACAGCTTGTTGGGAGGGAGAAATATGAACAATAAAGGACAATAATATACCACAAACAGAGAGAAACAATGAAAAGATCTATTATTGTACTTCCTTCAAACTGATCAATATTGAAAATACATGCTTGTACTGAAAACTTCAAAATTACAGTTTATTAATAAATTAAAATCTTCACAGTATCAGGATGATTTCTGTCAGACGTTGTATTGTGTGATCAGCCTCACGACCTGATATAAAATCTCTGAATCTAACAGATTAATATAGAAAGTACAACTGGAACCAGCTGTTTTCCCATGATTCATCATCAGTGTGGTGCTGTGGCTGAGCAACCAAACTCTTGTTAGATGGTAAGATCACTGTGTAAGACTGACATCAGTTACTACTGTGAGCTTTTTGATTGAATCAGAGTCCTTTAAATAATCTTACACACTGTCTACACCACTTTTCTATCAGTGATAGAAGTAATAAAAAGATCAAACTCCAGTGTGTAAATCAGCTCAGCGCTACAAAACACACAGACTGGATAGTCAAATTTTAGTTACAGTAAAAGCTGATACTGTGTGCAGTCAGTGAACTACTGGTGATCGTATGATTTAATTGTTGGGCTCCATATTCTCCAGGTGGTGGCGCTGTTACACATGGTGTGCTGTAGAGATGAGTCAAGTATTGCTGTTGTTAGAATAAAAACCAATGGGAAAGTTTTGACTGATGTCCCAACTTGATTTCGCTTGAGGTTGATTACTTTGAGTTTTATATCCAATAAGTGGTTCAGTCTTGTCGATTCAAGTATTTATAGTATTTCTAATCTGAAATGTTGAAAATGGTCCCTTTTGAAAAGGTGAAAGTTAGTCCAGTAAGTATCCTGTCACTATCAGAAGGACTAATCCACAGAACGGTCATACAGAAAAGGAGGTGTAGATGAAACAGAGAGCTTGTCTTCTCTTTCCAGTGAGATTCCAATAGATGCAGATGAAGTTCTGTCCATGGGTCATAACGGTGGTCCTGAACAGATCTGTGAATGTTGGTTATTTCACACTGCAGTAGATCACTGAGGGGTCCTCAAGTGTGGAAGTAGCAGCCCTGCATTAACAGAACAAACAGTGTGACCTACTAGAAACCATTACTTGAACATAATTCAGTTCAGGGTGAAGCTCTGTTAGAAAGGACTAAATTAGTTTGGTAAGGTTGGTTTCTCTCACCTGTTGGCAGCACCAGTGCGGCTAAATCTTACACTCGCATACTGAGCGTCCACTTTAGTCTTCTCTACCACTTTATCACGGCGGTGCTGGACGCTGGCGTACTGAACCTCCTCATCAGCCCCAAAGGCAGAAGCTGCCACTGCAGAGCTCTCAGCATTCCTGGGGTTTCTGACTCTCTGGGGTACAACATTGTCATAATCACCATCATCCTGATTGGACGGATCTGGATCAGCTGCTGAATCACTGGTTGCAGGTCTTACTGCCACATTACTGTAGAGATTTTCCTGCAGTCAGAAATAAAGACTCGGTAAATCAATAAATCATCTCAAACACTGAGATTCAATAATAGATTTAGCATTCATGCATATTTAGGTAATAATAACACTTGTACTAGTTATCTTAAATATCTTAAGTGATTTGATGTTTATCTGTGTGCCACTCTAAACTAGAGATGAGCAGTACTGAATTTTATTAATCTTTTTTTTTCTTTAGCAATATTAGCATATGGACACCATAAACAAGAAACACTCAAAGTGAATATAGACTTAATACTGTCTCTAATATTTATTCTTCTTAAAACAAAAGTAAAAATGTCACTGAAAATGTCAAGTTTCTGTAACTGACTTGCCTGTTCTTGGTTTGCATCATCAGCTGAATTGCCTTTTCTCTTTCTCCTGAAAAGTAACAGTATAAAAATTAATAATATTAATATTAACAACAATATTGTGCAAAAATTGCACATCAGAAACATTGGTTCAGCATGATAACATGAAGTAGAAAACTGGTTTAATCAGTGCTTAAATATTTTCATAGCTCTTTTAAAGATTTGTTTGCTTACCTTACATAAAATATAGCAATGATAACAGATAAACATCCACATCCAGCTGTGACTCCAATAACTGCAGTACACCACAGGGCCAACCCACAGATAACCTGACACAGGCCCATTGTACGTCACTTTTCATTTGGATGACATCAGCTTCAATTTCGTAGGAAATATTCAAACATTACTTTTTAAATATCTTTAAAATATAATTCAGTGCTGAAGTAAACCAGCAGTGATACGGGGATATATATAAGCAACTACTCAGATATATAACCCTCAGCCAATACTCTCTCTCTCTCTCTCTCTCTCTGATAGACCTCACTGATAATGATGTCAGAGTTGGTTTGTCATCTACTGTTAGTTTATGCTGCCATCTAGAGGAATGTAGGTATAATTACAGGTCTACTGTGCCACACAGCCCATCACTGATTAATGAATATATTAAATGTGTTACTAGGTAATTTAGAGCCTTCAGTCAGGTGTACGTGTGGAAGTGCGAGAGAATTAATATAAATATAAAAAACAGTTGAAGTTACAATGAAAGAAACCAAAGGCACAATAAATAACAGAAGCACTGTTGTATCTTAATATTGCAGGAACTGTGTGAAATTAAAACAAGTGTGAGGAACCTGGATGGAATCAAAGCAAAGAAACTAATCCTGACCTGTTGAATATTCACTGTAACTACAACCAAAACAAAAGAAAACAGTCCTGACTACATTAGACTGAACTCCAATCCCTAAATACAAACACTGATAAACAGATCAGACTTACAGAAAGATTAACACAATGCTAACAAACAATAACAACACAACAGAAATGAAACTAACATGTAATACTTAAAGGATCATCTTAAGTGTGAGATCATTTCTCTGCTCACCAAATGTAAGGGGTTTATTTTCAATGCAGTCTGCATAGAGAGAACGCCATTAATGAGGAAAACAGCTTTAGCTTTATTTATACAGCACCTTTATATATTTAACTGCAGCAAACAAAACAGACCCCACCAACTGCAGGACCCTCTCAGTCTGTGAGAGGCAGTGCTTCAAAGTGCTTCCTCCAAGACATGAGATGGCACCACATCTTTTCACACAACATCACTGGATCAGAGCTGGTTTATGGGGAGCCTGGCTTCTTCCTATTTCCACTGTTATATCAAAAACATGACTGCAAAAGGCGCCTGTGAGCAAATCCTCAATAAGTGGGGGTGAATGGAGCTAAACGGCTAAAATCAAGAAGTTAAAATAGTTTCTAGTCACTCACCCAGAACTTTCCTTTAACTTTAGAAAGAAGGACGTATTTCACTAAAAAAGCTAAGAAAACTCACCTGTATGTTTCCTTTTTTCTTCTTTCTTTTTTCTACAGCAAACTGGTTTTGGGCGGCAGGAGGCGGACATTACTGCTACTGAGTGCTAACTGGTTGGCAAGCAGAGCAGCTGATTGGCTGTTCGTGCTCAATGAAGTCATGAATGTACATGAAGCACTATTTTAAACTCCTATAACTCGAGTTTAAAAGCTCTTAAAAATATAACAGCAGTGTTTAAAACTTTTACGCTGTTCTATGTTCAGGAAATGAATGTATTCTTTTACATTAAAAAAGTTTAAGTACTTATAAACTATGATTTTGCTCAAATGCTCAAATCTTAGCCCATTCATTTCTGCACTCGCTCGGGAGTGCCCTCTAGTGTTTGAGAACCCAGGAAGACATTACAGAGTGGTAATTCTCCTCTCTACAAGATCTCTGATTGGATGATAAGAGAAACAGTTCTTCACTAAGCCCCACCCCATATCAACTGGCGATTGTTCAATCATAGCTTGGCAATTGTATCTAAGGCCTCTAATAAGCCTTGAAAACTGGGCATTAAGCCGCATGGTTTATGAATCACAACTCCAGATCACTGTTTAATAGCTTAGCTAACACTGGATGAGTTTATAAGATAATAGGAGATACAAACTGAAGGCTTTCCTGATAATCAATGTTCTTGTAGAACCCTGAAGTAGAAGATCAGTGCTTCTCATTTACTGTATGTCATCTACATGGATCTCTATGTGATCATGGTTTTCTACCAGATCATTTTAAACTGCAGTGCCGCAGAGAACAACTATAAAAAATGAAGTATTGAGACACAATAATGAGCTTAATACATACAAATCATCATTTATAGGGTACTTTTTATGGAGGAGTGGCCCTAAATTTCAAACTTCTGAAAATATTATTAACTTTTTGTATTTGTTTAAAAGATCTTTTTGATTTTTATAACACAAAACCGAAAAAATTAGATTTATCATAAACTCAATTCTTAAATGAAATATTGTCTCATGTTTTCATGTCACTACTGGAACACAGAGTTTAGTCAATGGGTGCATTTTAGAGCAGGAAGTGAGGCTGCATCCCTGTCCCTCATGGCCACATGATGAGCAGTTAGATCTCATTGTTTTGAAGTAAATCTGTCCCAAAGTCTGAAAACCAGTGTGGAACATTAAGAACAGTCACTAACAAAACACACATTTTCTCCAAAGAACTAATTGAATATTGAATATTATGATTTTATGTGTGTACAACTGTTCAAAGCTGTGTTTTCTAGTCATGTACTGGCTGGCGTTTCTGATTTCTATGATTGTTTTGATTGATTTCTGACTTTAAACCAATTCAGTAGGATGATCCATTTACTTTGAGCTCCATTAGGTTCTATTAGGCTGGATGTGTTGATGTATTTTCACTCAGACAATCAACAAAACATGTCATTTCACCAGGGGTGCACAAACTTTTGCACATGGTTCTGTTCACTCTCAGTGGCTTGATGGTGATAGTTTCAGTGCTGGTTTCTGACTGGCTGACAGAAAGAAAAAACAAACACAAACACACTATGAAGATGATGAATAATAATAATAATAATAATAATAATAATAATAATAAGCTTACTACAAGTTTACTATAAGTAAACAAGCGTACTACAACTGAGAAACACATGAACACAGAATAAAATAAAATAAACAATGTCAGTTGATTAACAGAGAAAAAAAAAGGAGCAAAAAGCTGTGAAAAGCAGATGACGACTCCAGCAGGATCATGGAAGAACACCAAACTAACATATATACCATATATCACCATGAAAACTGTGTCGACCATAAAAGTAACTCTCTCATTATGTTTTGGTTACTGAGTGTAGAGCATTCAGCATTTTGAATCATATAAATAACTCACAGTGAGATCCAGTCAGGCTAAAGTACAGCCTCCACATGGTGGAGGTAGTTTTAACAAACTGTCACAACTAAGCCCACCAAAGTAAACACTGAGAGAAGCTCATATCCCCCCATATAAAGTCAAAATGAAACATATTTTTTTTCTGTCCTACATTGTGGTCAGTGCAGAGGATGATGCATCACATAGTGATGTAGATATTTTTGTTTATTTAGGCTGTAAAGCACACTTGATCATACAGGTGTATTGAAATAATTGTGTTTGCATGAATTTACACTTACTGCAAGTGTGCTGTACACATCATCAGAGGACCTGGACACGGGGTCAAGAGCTGTGTACGTGTCGTCCTTAGCATTATGGTCAATGTTCTGGAGAGAAGAGAGTTAGAGAACATAAGCCATTTGAATTCTCACTGACCAACATCAAAAACACTATAGATCCAGCTATGGTAATAACAGGTAACAAATGCTCATCTCCATTTTTACTTTCTCGTGGATCCAGACAAGGCTGTCTGCTCTCTCCTCTCTTGTTTGCTCTGTCACTCGAGCCTCTGGCTCAAGCGATTCACCTATCCCCACTTTACTCTCCAATCACCATCAATAATACTCATCACTACATTTCTTTATATGCTGACGACATTTTGCTTTTCATTAATAATGTACCTGAAACACTTCCTCATGTGCTCTCCATTCTGGATAATTTTTGCAGTTACTCTGGCTATAAGGTCAATAAAACAAAGTGTGCACTTCTTAATTTGAATGATGCCATGAGGGAGATAAATCTGTCTTCTTTAACTATCCCTGGGGTACATCACTTTAGGTACCTTGGGATTGAAATTCACTCATCCCTTCAATTAACAGTTAAGAAAAATGTACTAATATTTGTGACGATATGAGGAACTGGAGTCATTTACCTAATACTCTTCAAACCCGTATATGAGTAGTGAAAATGAATGTTCTCCCTAGAGTTAATTTTATAAGCTCTATGATTCCGTTACCTCCTCCTGTAGGTTTCTGGGACAAACTTCACTCCAGTATCTCAGCTTATATATGGAAAGACAATAAACCTCGAATTAAACTCGCTACTCTTCAGCGTAATAAAACAGATGGAGGACTTTCTCTTCCTAATTTCAAATTATATTATTATTCCTTTGTTCTTCGTCCATTGTCGGTTTGGCTAAATTCAGATACTCAAACATCTTGGCGGCCTCTTGAGGAAAGTCTGGTTGCTCCACATAGATTATAAGATCTCATCTACTCAAATATTCCCATAAAGCAATGTAAACTGAGACATTGTCCTCTAATTAGTAATTTACTTTTAACATGGTGGGTTGTAGAAAAACTAAACAAAACCATAACTGTTTGGCACAAATGCTCCCCAATTTTTAACAACTATAAATTACTTACTGCTAATAAGCTTTTTTCTTTTCTCAATGGCAACAAAAGGGAATACATGTTCTAGACGACATCGTTAATGATTCGGGACTTCGGACATTCCAAGACTTACATTTTACAGTATACCAGGTTTTTCAATTTTTCTCTATCTTTGCCTTCACTCTGCCATGAAGGCATATGGTGTTCCTTGGGGCTGCACTTTACCCTTACACCCATTGCATAAACTGTTCAATGCTAGCATGGAAACTAAAGGGTGGGTATCCAAAGTGGGGGGGGTGGGGGGGGTGTATGTTGGGGTGGTTGGGTGCTTCATTTTGTTGGTATGTCTTTTGTTGCTTACTGTATTTTGTATTACATTGGAGCACTATCTTAAAAATGAAAACATCTGAGCACAAAAAAAGAACACTGTAGATCAAACCTACTGAATGTTTTATATTTTTTTTTGTAAGAGATGCTGGACTGTAATATGCATATCATCCTGTAATGGTCCGGCATATTTGAAGCATCCTTTCAAGTATTTAAATAGTCTTAGCTGAGACATTCAGTGACTAAATGCAGGTAAATGTAAAATATATATATATATATATATAGTATTGTATTGTATGAAGCAGGTGCTGTAATAAATTTGAAGAACATTAAATATATAGTTTTGGTATATTTGCGCACACACATTTACAATTTCTACACTTATTTTCCTAAACTGTTATTTCATGTACCAACTACCACCATCCTCACCACAACAAACAACAGACAAATATTACTATAGAGTTTTATCAGTCCAGATTTTTTAATTGGCAGTTTTAGCATATGCCATAAATAAGAAATAGACAAAGTGAATATAGACTTAATATTGTTTTTAATAAATGTACACCATAATAAGAAATAATCAAAGTGAATATAGACTTAATATTGTCTAAAATAAAAGAAAGTAAAGATGTCACTAAATCTCATTCTGCTAAACAAGTTTTTGTTTAGTAACTGACTTGCCTGTTTTTGGTTTGCATCATCAGCTGAATTGCCTCTTCTCTTTCTCCTGAAAAGTAACAGTATAAAAAGTAATAATATTAATATTAACAACAATATTGTGCAAAAATTGCAACATAAACATTTTTCACTGATACATGTACAAAAACTGGTTCCAGCAATGATAAACAGAAGTAAAATAAGGTCTAATAATCTACATTAATATTCATTTTCATAGCTCTTTTAAAGATGTGTTTGCTTACCTTACACAAAATACAGCAATGATAACAGATAAACATCCACATCCAGCTGTGACTCCAATAACTGCATATAGAGCTGAATTCCCAACTCCTGTGTTCAGATGAATGTTAAAGTTTAAAGTTATGCTAATTTTTATGAATGTTATTAAGTGTTATTCAGGTTGTGTTTTCATCACTAATACCTTTTTCAGTGACAGTCACTGCAGCTGATTTCTGAGATCCGTGTTCATTCTGAGCCACACAGTAGTAGGATCCACTCTGTAGAGCCCTGTAACTGTGTCCAGATCCTACAGGTGAGCTTCCACCTTCTTTAAACCAGGTGTAGTTCTGCACAGGTGGGTTTGCATCACTGCTGCAGGTCAGAGTCACTGAACTGCCCTCCACTATTTCACCAGAGGGACTGATGGACACTGAGATGCTCTTTGGAGGATCTAGAAATCACAGAATAACTGCATGATGTAATCATTACATGACATTAAATGTTTATAAAAGAGAACTTCTACAAAATAATGTACAACTGGAACAAATAAACACAAACTTACACAAAACATTCAGAGTTAGAGCTTCAGAGAGTTTCTCTCCATGTTCATTACTGGATCTGCACTTGTATTCTCCACTGTCCACAGAGCTGATCTTGTTCATTGTGTAAGTCTCTCCTTTTGATACTAATGATGTTCCTTTAAACCAGTTATATTCCACAGGTGGGTTTGCATCACTGCTGCAGGTCAGAGTCACTGAACTGCCCTCCACTATTTCACCAGAGGGACTGATGGACACTGAGACGCTCTTTGGGCCATCTAGAGGTAGAAAGACACATTACACTTCATGGAGGTGCTTTTCTGTTTGATTAATCAAACTATAAATGTCCTGTAGAAGTAGTTCTTGTTTTATTGCAGAGACACATCATTCAGTTCAGCATATGAAGATCACTGTTCTTACAGCTTTTAAATCAATTTTACCAAAGACTCTGAATGAAACATTCCCAAATATTTCTTGGTTCTTTAAGGATTAATAAAAACTAATGACTTCATGAGTTCTATCAGACTTACACAGTTAAGGTAGGTGATGGTCTTTACTAAAGCATCCTTAATTAAAATAAAATACTGGAAAAAGTGCTCTGGTAATCCAAGTAACTGACTCAGATCATGATTCATGATTGTTTAATGTACACGTCTGGATTTTTTTTCATCAAACAGTTTAAAATTAGGAATTGAAATATAAACTATTATTATTGCATTATATATACAGACTTACACATAACATAGGAAGCATCAGTAGGAGAGTAGAGATGTTTTGATGCTCTTACAGCAAAACTTTAGCTAATCACAAAGTCCTTTATGAGCTCAGGAGTGTTGGAGCAGGAAAACATAACATTCAGTGAGGAGAATCTGCAGGACTGAGATTATTAACTACAGTTTTACAGTTAAAGTGTGTTCTGTCTGTACAGATATTACAGTGACATCCTAATGAATATTTACTGCAGGTACTCAGTGATATATTACTTTATAAACAGAGATCAGTTGCTGGACTAAACTTAATCACAGACAGTTCAGCATGAAGCCTCAGCTTAGTTTGTTTTCTGAGACTGAATGAATGAATCTGTACTTACATCTGACATTCAGAGTGACCTCAGGAGAGTTCAGACCCAGTACAGCACAGTGATACCTGCCTGCATCCTCCCTGCTGACCGGCTGCAGGTGGAGTTGGTCAGTACTGGAGGATAAACGATGTCCATTTCTGTACCAGGTGAATGTTGGTCTGACTGTCAGACTGCAGGTGGTTTTACATGTGAGAGTGACTTTATCTCCCTCTATCACTCTCTCAGGAACCTCCACCTGGAGATCTGAGAACCAGAGAAAACAAACTCACACTGTGGAGACTCACACTAGCTGAGTGAGTGTGTTAATGGTGTCTTTAATATTTCTATTTAAAAGTAGAATTAAAATTAATCCTAAATCATGAAGTTTGCAGCAGCTCAGATTTGACCACTGGACATAACATATAAATATACAGTGATTTGAGCTCACAGACAGCTCAGCATGAACCCTCAGCTGTTTGTTTTCTGAGACTGAATGAATGAATCTGTACTTACATCTGACATTAAGAGTGACCTCAGGAGAGTTCTGACCCAGTAAGTAGTATATATCACACACATTCTGTCAAACGAGTGATTTATGACCCATGATTTATGACCCCCTGTGATTGACAGGCCAGTTTTGATTGACAGGCCAGTTTTGATTGACAGGTCAGTTTTGATTAACATGTCATTTTTGATAGACAAGTCAGCAGGGTTTTTATGACACCCACACAACCCCCCAAGATTTATGACAGGATTGTTGAGGTGTCAGTGTCCTGTCTTGGTGGGGTCACTTCCCCCACCCCATGCTGTGTGAGCAATTAATGGTGTGACTATGTGTCTTCTGCCATGTGTTAAAGACGTCTGGGGGCTTTCGCTAAGTTGTTTGATGTTAGAAAGTTTCCTGTATCAACAGACTAAACGCCTGTAAACATTGATAGTGATGCTGTTATTACGCCTATTTGCGTGGACCAATCAAACACAAGGGATTGGAATAGGCTATAGCAGGGGCGGGTCTTGAGAAAATGGTGTATTTAGCTGGTTCGTAAGCCCTATGCATTCATCTATTCAGCCTTCAAGTTGAAAGCAACATGGCCAGCATTCTTGGTAAGTGTGCGTTCTACAGACTTTACCCGAATTTCTGTTGTAAGTAATTCAATAGCGTTTCAACAGGTTTTTCTCGGCCCAGGTGCATCTGAGATTGAAACAATCCTAGCTATTAGCAGTATTGAAGGGTTGTCTCAACTTGGTACGTTTTTTGTCACGGCTTTTATTACTTATTTCATTATTTGTAGTTGCTGATGTTCATCAGAAATACTTTCTACATTTCTGTTGTTACAGAATCTGCAAATATATCGGATTATGATAGTTTTGTCTGTTAGTTGTTGGTGTGTAATACTAATTTATATATTTTCTGTAGTAGGTCTGACCCATTTGGTTGAAACAACGGGTCTCTTAACACCGCCAGGATTTGATGCTGTACCCAGTACCTCCACGGCTGAACCCCGTGGCGCCACGGACAACAGCGGGTCCAGATTACCAACGTTTAGGCCCTGTTTGACAAGCTGGGGAACCACCGCAGGGCCGATGCAGACCAAGTGTTGACAATAAGCCTGTTTCACAACGTCCGATTAGATGCTCGAGTGAAAATGACAAGGCGATTTCACATGGAAAACGCCTTAGGTTTCCAAATCTGTAGGTAAGAAAAATAAGTGGCTTCTATTCACAATATTGTATTAATATTAGTGGTTGTGTGTAAATGTTTTTCTTAAACTGTTTACAGATTTGTACACCAGTGACCATTCAGTGTATGGTGATGTGGGGGATCTGGAGCGGCGCCGGAGGCCGATGACGTTGCCTGGACTCAGGAGTTGTTGAACATGTGGAATGAGAACAGCTTTACAGAAAAGGTGGATCAAACAGCGGATACTGGACCAATAAATGCTGGACTAAACACAATATTGAAAGAACTGAGAGACTTTGATGGGGATGGCTGAAGACCGAATCAGGAGCACGAACGTCGGGTAAGCAAGACTTACTATTCTAATGATATCGACAAGCTTAGAACATTGGTGAGGCAACAGTCTCAAGAGATCACTAAAAATACCATTGAACTGCACAGACAAGCTGCTATCAGGCATAGATGTAATACTGCTATTCAGAAACTGACCGCGCATAATGAGAAAATAGTACAAGAAAGTCATACACTGAATGAACAAATATCAAAGCATACGCAGAAGATACAGGCTATGCGCGAAGAACATGATACACATTTTAAATGTTTAACAGGTTCAATGCTTAAACTGAACAGGGTTTACAGTTAAAACTTTCACCAAATTTGCCTGTGGCAGGACCATCCACAAAGTAAATACATCTGTGATGTGCGTCAAGATGCAGTGTGTCACAGGAAACCCAGACGTGTCAAATATTGTGACGACTGTTCACGCTACTGCATGTCTGACTACTGTTATGATCAGCATAAGAAACAGAAACAACAGCCTTCTTCAGAAGTGATGGGATCCCCATGCGATCAGTAGTCAACACATACTGGCTTGTGCAGACGGCATAGTGAGAAATAAAAAGAACCTCTCGCTGAAAAACGCTTTAAAGTCGTATACAACAAACAGGTTCTGTTGTCTGATTTTTCAACACTTCCTTATGGGTACTAAAGATGTCCATGACCATCGCGGGCTACGAGAGGTTGAAGGGTTTGACTTTAGATTACAACATCTTTTACTTGTGGAATAAGTGGACCGTCAAATTCTGGAAAAAAAACATTTTTTTTGTAAAACAGTTGATTGAACATGCTGATGAATTGGTTTCAAAGAAAATATAAAATATAGTATACATTTATGATTGCTGGCAGTCGCTTTATGATGAAACGTTAAAAAATAAGGAATATAAATTTTGTTCAAGGGATACCAACATCACTAAATGACGACACACTTCTACCACCTAACCGAAATAATTTGTTAATTATTGATGATGTTATGAAAGATGCTAGCAACAACACTGAGGTAGGAAAGGTATTTACTCAGTATGTACACCGTTGAAATTTAAGTGCCATTTACCTAATACAAAATTAGTTTTTTCAAGGACAGTCTAGTATGACAATTAGTTTGAACACAAATTATCTCATACTATTTAAAAATCCTAGAGACAGCAATCAGGTCGGTGTATTAGGTAGACAGATACAAAGTTTTTCATGGAGTGTTTTCAAAATGTTGTAACTGAACCATTCGGTCACCTCATGATTGATTATGAAGGAAAGACTCCTGAAGACTTTTGTCTCAGAACAGATGATGCTTTCAAACTGTCCTATTGTTTACATTCAGAAAAAACGCTGATAGATCAGTATGTGTGACAGGCTATATAGAAACCTACCACATCTTAAACTTTTATTTAAAGCTAAATCAGCGCAGAGACGTGTTATTTTACAAACGGCGTCTAATGAACTTATTTTCACTCTGTGTGAAGTGGCTCCTAACATATTTAATGGTACCATACCTCTCACACCAACACAATATCGTGCGTTAAAGAAGAAGTAGTCTGAAATTATTTTTTTTTGCTGATTAAAAGATTGGTGTTTCACGAAACATTGTCCTGACCACCCACAGATAATGATGATAAGAAACCAAATGTTATTGTTTAGACTGATGACAAAGAAGATGTAATCAATGATATTGAAATTGAGAAATGTACCATTACGAAGCAGGAGGAATGTTACGTATATTTTAGATAAAATGTCTAAGTCAAATGAAGTGTCTTCTTGGAATGAATCAGGAGAATTTGTCTTAAGCGACTGCACTGTCCCAGGGTCGCATATTCTGGATTTGGTGAAAAGTATCACAATGCCACACAGGGTTAGCAATGATCGCAGACCTCTGGAGTGGGCAGGGTTTCTAGAGGCCTTTGCTGCTTTAAATATACATCTTTCTACCATAGCGATCAAGCATGTTAGAGAGAAAATGATTTTGTTAAAAAACAAAAAGTCTGTTGATAACGCTACACTGACAAAAGACATTTTGCAAACACCGGTTAAGAGTGTTGAAACCCCCATGTTTATCTCACCCATTCTAGACAAAAGTAAATGGTTAAACTTCTAATGTAGGGTTTACTTGTTTTTTGTTTGGTTATTTTATGTGTATTTACATTAATTTGATATATATATATTGTTTCTTTTTTGTATCATGACTGTGTAAATACATTGTTTTCAGAACATACCGTATTAATTTGATGTACTGAATACAGATGTTAAATGCCACTGTATTACGTATTGTAGATAAATGACTCAAAGTTGAAATTGTTTGTTTTGTCTTTTTTTTTAATTTTATCAATAGCTACATTACACAGAGGTGGCACAAATTACACAATAAATATCCGTCCTGTTTGAACATGCTAGACACATTTAAATAATTTGTTCTTACAAATACATGGACACATTTTCTTTTTTTTACAAATGTTGAAACCATATTGTAATTTTTTATTAAATGAAAACTATATTTAGACATTACATCTTCATAACTCGACCCTTTAGACATGTGGTGTAGAAAAAACACACAATGTTGACCACAAGTGGTTGATCTTGTATTTGCCTGGTTGAGTACCGCTGTGCTATGCATGATGTTTTAAGAAAGCCACTAATCATTTTTGGAAACGTGTCATAGTCTGGACCATTTCCAAAACTGTCAAAAAAATAACCAACACAATCTTCACTTATGTAGACTGCTAGCCGGTGTTCTCCGGGAAGATCGGATGTGTGTGTATCAATAATCACCATTGTTGGTAATTTCCTTATGAAATTTGTTGGTAATTGGTGCTAACACGCCAAGAAAATGTGTGTTGACAGCCACTTTATCCATGACAGCGGTCAGCTCTAAGGTATTCATTAGTAAAAATCCACTAAAACGTGTCTTCGGTTAGACACTTCAATGATACTGTCAATAAAGTGTACACAATCAAATTTATGGTGTGTGGAAGGGGGTGTCTGAAACAAACCTACAGTCTTATATTCCCAGATTAGACCAAAGACACATGTTGACTACATTCTTCATCAGGTGTAAGATTAAATGCGTACAGTGTAGCCCTGTAGGAAATCCGTCCTATCAATCGGCAATGCCTGGTTTTTCAGATGCCTTCCAGATGCAAGAGCTAACTGATAAAATTCAGGTATGGCAGAGCCAGAATGGAATTCGGGTTGATGTGGTTTAGCCGGATATTGTTGTCCATCTACATAGACAGCAAGAAACTCTAAATCATAATGTTTGAATGCAAAAAGATTTTTATTGTAGGCACCCGTGAAAACATCGTTGTGAACCATCGCTATTATCATGGACTTTGGTAGAGTCCCCAAGAACAAATTTTCTTGGTT